CTTAGCCATACATGTTCATATCCTTGAAGATGCATCAGGGAACTGTTGAAGCCTAGAAGATACAAATTTAACTAACAAGTTAAAAGTACATGAGTCAAAAATTAAAAGCAATAATACTCCAAGTAGAGCTTCTAACAGTGGCATAAATCAAGTTATGGAGGAAAGGTCGTTCTTAAAATAAAAGGCTTATTGACTAGCACTTTGTCTGTTATAAAAGTTATAAAGGTTAGGAACCACAAGATGAAGAGGCTCAACTATGTCATTTATTGTTCTTAAGTCCTGGACCAAATTCCATCTACCACTGGTTTGTTTTACAGCTCGGAAGTCCGCATGCAAGGCAGAGGTGAAGTAAGGAACTGCTTATGAGGTTTTCTGTCAGTTCCAACAACTAAAACATAGTGAGAAGAGTTGTGACCTCAGAAGGCTTTTAATACTAAATAATAGGCTCTTGTGTCCAGGACAAAATGAATATACTTACCAGTAATGTTAATGCTCACCCATGGCTCTTCTGGGAGGATCTGAATCATTGAAGTATTAGAATTTTTTTTTTTTTTAGAATTACTTCTTGAGTCCTTTTGATAGGACTCTGCTCGTCTTTAAAAGCATCCTTTCTGGACTAGCAAAGTGTTACGGAATTGCATTTTATAGCGTTCTTCTGTTTCTGAAATCAGAAAAAAGAACTAGTCTCCTTATATTTGAAATATACTATTTATAGTAGTTTGAAATATTACAAGTACCATAAATGTTTGTAAATTCTCATATTAGAAAGGGACTGGTGTTTTCAAATTTCAAGTTTAGGAATAAATCATAAAAAAGATTGTCTCAAACAATGGTATCCAAAAAATGAATATGACAAAGATTGAGATTGGTGTGACACTAGGCTTGCTGTATGTTTTTGTTTGCACCCCATTTGTGAGATAAAGGTTTTCTTGCAGTATGTCCTGGCTTTGAGATTCTCCTTGTCCTTTTAGTTAGTATTTTTACTGTCTTTGTATTAGACCATTTCCCCCTTGAAATGTTTCTGTTGACAATACTCTTATTTTTAATTTATATATCATTAGTAACTTATGATTGTAAATCCTTTAAAGTGAATGTTTTCTAAAAATCAGTTATTTATGACTTCATTATGAGTTTTCTCTCTGTAATAATATAGTTCATTAAATTAATTTTCACAGTGTCTTAGAGGTATGGGAGTATGTGTAAAGAATTTCTTTTTATAATTATTTGGAAGATCAATATTGTGTGTGTGCAAAAGCTATTTTGAATTGTTACTTGATTATTAAAGTGCATTTTCTTTCCTTTTAAGCATACACTTGGGGAAGTCTGGGTACAGAAGACATCTGAGATGAATACAGATAAGCAGTATTTTTGTCGTACACATTTGGGACATCTTCTAAATCCTGGAGACCTGGTGTTAGGGTTTGTATTATTTTATCGTGTTTTAAATTGCTAATTAATTAATTAGGATGGCAAATTTTCTGTGGGAGCCAGATAAATTGCCTGAAATACTAGTGTTGTTTGTTTCAGAAAGATTTTAATAGTCTTTTTTTAAAATTTATTATTAATTTCAATGAAAATTTACAGAGACTTTGGATTTCCATTCATTCATTGTTGCACTTTTCTCCCCTCCCAACCCTCCCCCCTAGTACACTACCCTCTTGGAAAAGTAAAAGAAAAATTCTTTCATTGTTTTACAATCCCTCCCCCCAGGTCCACTCCACTATGCAGCCTTCGTTCTGGACTCCTGTCATGACAAAAATACCTAATCACATATCCCTTTTAAACAGTTTTCTCCCTAATCTATTTCAACCCATCTTTCTCAGTCTCCCCCCAGCCCTGAGGTCAGTTCTGTTTTACAACAGTGGCACCATGCAGTATTTGTCCTTTTGTAACTGAGATACTACACTCAGCATAATGTCCTCCAGAGTCACCCATTTTGAATAATATCGCATGAGTTCCTTGTTTTTCAGTGCAGCATGGTATTCCATTATGTGAATATACTACAGCTTCTCTATCCATTCATTTGTTGGTGGGCACTTAAGCTATTTCTGACTCCTTGCTCTTGTGAATGAAGCCACAGTAAAACATTCCCAGAAGTGGAATTGCTGGGTCAAATGGTATTTCTGTATGCAACTCTTTGAGAAAGTGCCATACCTCCTTCCACAGTGGTTGCACCATTTTACACTTCCACCAACAGTGAATAGGGGTTCCAATTTCCCCACAGCCTTGCCAGCATTTGTTGTTTGCTGTTCTGTTAAATTCTGACTGGGGTGAGATGATATCTCGTAGTTGTTTTGATTTGCATCTCTCTTAGAGCTAGGGATTTTGAACATTTCTTCATGTGCTTATAAGCCATCTGAATGTCTTCTTTGGTGAACTGTCTGTTCATGTCCTGTACACATTTTTCTGTTGGATTATTTACCTTTATCTTGTTGTGGTACTCAAGTAGAAAGAATTTAATAGTCTTTAGGAATCATTAAATTTATTTTTAAAATAATTGATAACCAAATTAAACTGTGGTCAGAAAGAAGCCTTTCATTTTTTATTGTTACATATAATCACGTGCTCCAAGTTTTGTCTACTTTAACTCTGAGATTGATCTATATTTACAATTTTTTTGGGAGGTGAGTAGGGTTTTTTGGTAATGCATATTCTACTGTTAAATATTTTGCTTTTAAAAATGGTAAAAGCGTCTATAGAGCCATTGTATATCCCTTAATGATTGAGCATGCCTTAAACATCTCTGTGGCTTAAATTCTTTATGTCAGCCAGAGTGACTTTCTTTGGTGTCAGGTGAAACCAGCCAACTGAGTTCTAAAGTTGGACTAACATATGTCAGTTCTACTTCTTTTGTCAGTATACATGGTGTGGATAATAATGGGCAATATGTGAGACTCAAAATATTATTGCCATGAATATTGGCTTGAAGGACATTCTCTGTATAGTAAATTGTATATGTCCATTTCAGGTTTGATTTGGCCAACTGTAACTTGAATGATGAGCATGTCAACAAAATGAACCCTGATAGAGTCCCAGATGTGGTAAGGCTTTAGATTTTTCTTTTTTCATTCAAGATGATGTAACTCATATCAGTAAGATGCATGACTTCACAGTTTTTGAAAATGATAAATCAGTATAGAGTGTTTGAAATTTTATTTAAGGTGTGATAAGCATAAGACTTCATTTTGTTTGATTTTTCTTGGTGAGCTAAATCTAAGATTTATTGACTTATTATTTATAATTAAATATTCTCTGTCAAAATTCTTGATGCTGTCTGTAGAGTAGAAATAATTTAGCAGCTAAAATGATGACCTTTAGAATTCATTCAAGTTCATTCTTATTTTGTTTAGTTTTTTTTGTATGTTTGATTAAGAAAGCATTCAGGGTTAAAGCAATGATTCAAAGTGAACATAATTGCATGGGAAAATAATCTTCCTAGCATCAAGTCTTGGAGAAGATTATTTCTCAGAACCCTGTTACATTTCGATATGGAATCAGTGAAAGGTCCTATCTGTTAACTTTTAAAATATTTTAAAATAAGCGTTGATTTCATTAGGAGTGGATGAAAGTAAAGATGTGGTAAAAAGAAGCATCCACTTGCATTTTTATAAATAGAAGCATGGTTTACGTGTAAATATTTACGTTAGAGTAAGGGATCCCTGTGGTCTTAAAGTTTTGTATTCTATAAAATTATGTATTAATGCTATAGTTGTATAGTGAACATTGTGCTTGGATTATAGTTTATGAAAATCATTGTATGTAGTGTTGTAAGTACTTATTAATGGAGGGAAGGGGAAAAAATGACTCATACTCTTTCATAATGATTTCTCCGAATAGTAGTTAAACCCCAAATTGTTGTTGTGTTCATTAGAGTTGAAACTGACCCATAGATGACCCTCCAGCAGATTTTCAAAGGTACTGGAGGAGATTGCGTAGCCTTCTCCTGCAACGCAGCTGATAGATTCAAACTGTGTGCCTTTGGGAATATAACATAGCTTCATAATACTAGGCCACCAGAACTCCACAAATCAGGTTTTAAAAAAAATCCTGGTCTTAATTTTTAGTCAATGGAAATACTCAGTAAATGTTAATAATTATATTATACAATAAATACCTGAATGAAATGTCCTCTTGATGTCTTTCTTTCTTTGCTTTGAGGCATTGCCACTGTGTGCAATTGATGACTTTGCCCTGATATTTCCAAAACTTTTCACTTTTTAATGGATTTTGAAACTCTGCTTTGTGGTTTTTGTGCTTTGTAACTTTTTAAAAATACTTACATTACCTTTAGGTATTAATCAAGAAGAGTTATGACCGCACCAAACGTCAGCGTCGTAGAAACTGGAAACTGAAAGAGCTTGCCAGAGATAGGGAAAACACGGATATAGATGATGAAAGGTCCTATTTTTCTTTAAACCTAAAGTATTATTTCTTAAAGGGAATCCTTGTGACTAGTAACTATGATTCTGTCATACTGTCAAAAGTCTCATCACACATTTGATCACTGCACATATGCTAGAAAGTGCTGAACTTCTTTTGGTGTGCGTATTTTACCTGGTCAGTCATTAGTAATTCCCAGTCACAGTGTTGATTTTATTCTTACCTGTTTCTGAAAAGATTGAACTTGTAGAATAGTCTCCTCATTATGAAATAACAACTCTTTGTTGTAAAACTTTTCAAAAAACTTGTATCCATCTTTCCTCCTAGATTTAGCAGTTGTAAAAATACCTGGCATACTTAATTTTTTCATTCTCCTATACAAATTTTTGGCGAACTATTTGAAAGTATATTGCAGATACCTAGACATTTTGTCACCTTACTCCTCTGCTAAGAATAAAGACTAAAAACCCCATAATATTATTTAATACCTAGTCCACATTTCTATTTCTCTTAATTATCCCAAACCTTCATTTATAGATTTTTGTTAACCAAGATCCAAGCAAGGATTATGCATTGTAGTTACCTTTTATGTCTGCTTTCTCCTTTGGTCTGTAAATAGTCTCTCCCCATTTTTCTGTCTCTTTGTTTTGTTTTAAGTGGCCTTCTTTCTCTTTCTTTGGCTTGACAGCACAGTTCTTCACTAAGCCACAGATAGCTATGAACATGTTAGATTAATATGGAATTAATATTTAACTACTTAATTTCTATATTGTCTTAAAATGTGTATAAAGGACACTTAGGAAGAATAGGCAGTTTTCTCATTGTCTACTAGTTAATAACACTTTATATTCAGCTGTGCAATTTTAATTATGTAGGTTTGATTTGAAAAATTTCTAAATGTGTCTCAAAATATGTAACATTCATCTTTGACCTGAAAAACTCTTTTTAAAGTTTTAATACTTGGAGCACATGTATTTTTAAGTGAAAATAAATTGAAAAAAATGTAATCACCTTTTCATAAAGATGAAATACTTAAATATTCCATACCCTTTTATAGACAATACCAAGATTTCCTTGAAGATCTGGAAGAAGATGAGACAATTAGGAAAAATGTCAACATTTACCGAGGTTAGTAATTGAGGAGTGTTTTGCTTAAGCAATATCTTCTGTATTATAAATGTTATTACCAGAGCATGAATATTTTAATGTCTTAACCTTTGATTAGCATTAATGTCTTTTAAAAATATTCTGTCGTCAGCTGTTTTTAAGAAAAAAAAATATGGAGAGTAGAAAAACAATGTTGGTACTGCATTTCGTAATCATTTGCATCTCATTCTGATCCTTGAAATTGCTGGTCTCCGTATTTGAGCTCATTGTCATATTGAGTCAGAACCAACTCCTAGCTAGCCCTCCAGCAGTTTCCACAGTGGTATGGAAAGAAGTTGTCCATTTTGTCCCTCACAGCTCCCCAAAGAAAGCATGGCTGTGGTATTTGGCGAGTAGCTCAGCTCCCTAGTGGCGTTTATTCACATATTTATGTACTTGATTCATTCAGTGAGTAACTGTATGCTTACACTAGATAAGATACAAAAGCCTCTGATTAAATAGCATTAGATTAAAATGATAGTGGAAGAGTATGGTATGTTTCCATATTAAATGCATTTGAAATCTTGTTATATTTTCTTAGATTCCACCATCCCTGTAGAAAGTGATACAGATGATGAAGGAGCACCTCGAATTAGTCTTGCAGAGATGCTTGAAGACCTTCATCTTTCCCAGGATGCAACTGGTGAAGAAGGTGCATCAATGATGACCTCATGAGATCATGCTGTAAACTGTCATATCCTTGGAAGTCAAGGAAATGGCCAGAATAATCTTTTATTTCTTTTGTTGAGAATATTATCCAGTGTGCCTCCATATTGAATTAAGAGAAAATTAGCTTTAAACCTAAATAAATATGAGTAGTTATATTGTTCACTCAAAGCATTAAAAAGACGGATGCAGTTTAGTTTTAAATAAAAAGGAATAATTTCTCACGTGGCCTTGCCACCTGCCTGTGTCTTTTGTGGCCTCATCGCCAGCCCGCATCTTGCACAGCATCACCGCTTGCCCACATCTCACACGGCCTCACCGCCTGCTTCCTCCTTGGTCACTGAGGTACTTTGGGAAACAAACTGAAACTACTGTCTGTCGTGACCATGTGGGATCCCTAACTGAGGCAACAGGGAGGTCCTGGGCCCATCAGTGGAGGTGAGAAGCCACTTCCAGAAGTGAACAACAGGTTTCCTCTGTGCTCACTCAGGTACTTTGGGGAACAGACTGCTGTCAGGAGAGCACAAACATATAGGTATTTCTCAAAACATCATAGATCAATGTGGACATTTGAGAGCCATGGGAGCTGCAAGCACTGGTGGGGTGCAGCATTGTTGACGTGGTACAGCAATCCTCTGTGGACTGCAAAAAACTATGGTGGGGAGTAGTAGTGGAACTCCCTTGCCAGGAGCAAGCAGGACAGTGGAAAATTGAAGTCTCCCTCACACTCCCTCCTGTTTGCATCTTTGTGCACAACTTTTCCCACTCCCATCCAAGTGTGTCTGTGTGTGCACCCATCCTATGTGCATCTGCTTGGGTGCCCGCCCAACCCTCCTATGGAGCAGTGATATCAGATCAAGAACCAGCTATTGTCTCAGGCACGAAACACTAACACAGCAATGTAATGAAAGAAGCAGACTACTTACTCCCCACACAAGCCCAAAGCAAAATAACCCCCCCAAAAAGAAACACAGTAGTAACGGGTTTTCTGAATCTAGAAAGTCTGATGGAACTTTTTGACAGAATTCAAAAGAACAATAATTGAATATTTTCTATAGGTAAAAAAATACTTGAGTAATTATATATGACACTGCAAGCAAAAATCAGGAGCAATTTAAAAAAGAAATAGAAAACAGTGCATATAAAACTAATGAGGCATTAGAGTCACTGGAAAAACAAGAAACCAGGATCCAAAATATGAGGTCCAAGGTTTCAGATGCTGTGGAACACAGAAACAGTGAAAATAGAAGAATTGTCACCACTGATCTGCTAGAGCAAAAAGAATCAGAAAACCTAAGAAGAATGTGGGACACCATTAAAGAAAATATGTCCTTCAACTATATCTTTCTAATCTTACAGAAATTTACAGTGAGTAAAGTCTGGATGCAATAGTATCTGCAGCTGCTCCAAACTAAACATAGAAACTGTAGATAGAGTTAAAATCTCTCCCCAAAATCCATAACCACAGAGAAAATTCTTTTCTTTCTGTCTTTATTTACCAAAATTGTCATAGAAGGAGCAGATGCTTATCATTCATTGATTTATTTTATGGGAGAAATCAGGCAAGGGTTGGTGGACACAAGGGTTCGTTCTCTTGACTCAAATGCTCAGATAGCCATTTTCAGTAAATCAACAATCTTCAGATTGGGTCATAGTGACCACTAGAAACTGAGTAAAAAAATTGAAGACAAAACATTTCAATAAAACTCTGACCTTTTAATCCATTATTTTTAGAACAAAGTTCACTATTAGACAATCGCAGATAGAATTTTAAGTAGTAGCCTCCCCGGTCATTCACTGATTATTTTTTTTCCTATAAGGAAAGTACTTAGTAAATAGTGATTCCTTCACAGACAATCTTTAATCAAATAAATTGAATTAATCTGTAGGTTTTTAGGCTAGCAAGAGTTTGTAATTAGCACCTTGACAATTCAATTGAGACTGACCTCGATAACATTTTAAATTTTTATAAACAGAACTGGAACTTTACATAAAATATAATTGATTTTTACTTTTTTAGGCTAATTTCTCCTTTGTCTTTTCAAAATTAACCTGAGGGTTTTGTAAAACTAAAACACCAAACCTATTGTCATCAGATCAATTCTGACTCATCACAACCCTGTGCATCCATTAAGGTTTCTACGGTGTAAGCAGACCTTTCTTCTAGGAACAAGTAGTGAAGTTGAGTCTTCTGCCTTTCCATGTACAGCCCAGTGCTTTAAACTCCTGCACCTTGAGGGCTCTGAAACTTCCATGAGCTTTGAGTATGTCATTTGATGTCAACTTGCCCCTCGCTTAGAACACACACATATTCCTAAATATAAATCTCTATGAAGAGTCATATTTGCAAATTTGGGAGTTGCAATTCATTCACACACATTCCAGGAAGCCTTGGAATTTTATCCTTTTCACAGTGGTGAAAGAAATGCTTACATGTACACACATTTAAAAAATGCAATCACAGTGTAAAAAGACACCTCAGAACCAGCCTGTGCTTGTGAAGTTCCTTTTGATCCTATTTACCAAATCTGCATCCCACTACAGGTGAAATGCTAGGTGTGCCAGTGTGAGTGAGGTGGCTTGTGCAGTGGGAA